AAAAAGTACACTCTTTCGAGAGGCGTAGCAGAATAAATGCTCTGCCGTCACCGCCGCCGCCGCCTGCCATTCATTCAGCTTTAGCTTGAAGCAATGCAAGATTCGCAATTCTGTTTTTTAATTTAGACAAAAATTAAAGGAAAAAATAGCGGAAACCGCGCGATTTGTCTGCCAACTGGAAATATCGCATCAAAAACAAAGCCAAAAAAGAAATAAAAGGAAAGCAAATTAAAAGTAAACTGAGATTGCCTTCAGCGTGCTCTGACTATACATACATATACACAAATTGAGAAGCTTATTTGCTTATGAAAGTGATCCTTTCAAACCTTTTTCGAATTGGCACATTGAACATATGGATCAGCCAGGAAAATGCAGAGGGCAACACTGATTTTGATGCGGCAAATGTTAAAGCTGTTTTTGATAGACTTTTTTGAGCTGATTACGAATCCATAAGGATAAAGTTTCCATCAGCTCCAGATTTTGAGAAAAACGTGGTCAAACTGTAGAAATTTTGCGTTTTTTGCAAACTTGGAGGAGCTATAGCAAAGAAACAAAAGGTAATGGAACCTTCCATTTAGGCTTATATTAAAGCCAGAACTCCCGACTATCCCAGAAACTGCCATCCCTGTGCTTTGATCAGTTTTCGCTGTTAAATAAATGGCTATAAGTGACCATCAGGTCAATATGCAGGGATGGTATTTTCAGGGACAGTAGTCGCGAGTTCACTTAAGCCTAACTGGAAGGATCTATCATCGTTTGTTCTCAAAACCGTAAATCCATATTTAAATCAGCCCTAACTGCTCAAAAGAGCTAAGAGGCCTACGGGGCGAGGATAATGTATGCGGATATTTTTCCTGTCTGTTACGCAACGAGTACAGAAGACCGTTATACTAGGTTCACATAAAAGTAGATTATCCTTATTCTCGAGCTTACCACCCTAATCAGTAATTAGAACAAGAGGTTAGCCATATAAAATTCGTCCCTTGTTAATCTGTAATTATAAAATAATCTCAGATTTAACCGATAACTTTTCGGTGCCCATCCTAGTTTTATCGATTGTTTTTGCGAAAAAGTGGAGAAATGCCAAATGTAAAAGTAAAGAAAAATGGACGCTAACAAGGAAAAGACTTGTAAAGGTATTTTTAATAAAATGTTAAGTTAAAATATATTTATATTGCTTAATATAGCCGAAAAACGTGATCACGGTGGCACAGAGAAGAAACATAACTTTTCCTTGAGATGTGAGAATAACAAGCACAAAAAATTTGACGGCTAATAATCTGAGATTTGCCTGTGTAAACGGGGTGATTAAAAAATTAGCTTTGATTGAGATAATATTGATATGTGAACATACTTTTAGATTGGCTGATTTGACCAATGTGCGCAAACAAAAGGACTAGAGAGGACCAGCTGTAAACATTGTTGTTAGCTACAGGCAATTTCAACTTTTAGTGCTTTTGGACTCGGGTTAATTGAAAATGGGTTTACTTCTTGCTGAAATACCTTCATCAAGGAAAGATATTCGAGTCGTATTTAGACCCAACGCGGAGAAAAACTTAGATTATCTCCACAAGGTACGCAAATAACCCTTGGCTGTTTTATAATGAAAACCATAGAAAAAGTGGCCCCATTCATATCAGAGAGACCTATCTAACCTAAAAGGCTAACAAAAGAGCCCTGACATCATTTTGGGAAAGCTGCACCGCATGGTCTGTGGAGCCATGCCAATACATATGTCTTAAAGAAACACTTGGAATCACCAAGTCGCATTGCTCTCAAAGCTATTTATTCTCTACCAATCCCTCCTTAACTAAAAGTCTAAACATTGATTGCATCGTTCTACATTTAAAGTATAGCCTTGACCATAATTATGGATAGATAATTTTCAAAGAAATAACTCAGCATGATATTTGTATCTTGCATACATATGTATGTAAATGGAACTTAGTGGAAAACCTTGAAGAGGACGAAATTACATCAGGCTTGTAGCAATGTCTCAGAGCATTTAAATTTATTATAGTAACCAAATAGTGAAATTAAAGTCCTTAAACAATGAAATAAATTTTAAATACGAAACTACAAAAAATATTAGAAATTTACACAAATCCTTTTCAGAATAATTGAGCTAAGCCGTGACAGCTGTGTGTGATTACAATATATTGAAGGTACATACACATATGTGAGTTTTCTTGCATATAACTGCCGAGTTAAACTTGTTTCGGCCCTTTGTAAGCCAGTCGTTGCTATCGCTAAGTCTCCAATGACTCTTAAAAATATGCAACAAATCTCTTCTCAACTCTGTGCGCGAGTGACTTACGCACATCAAATGTTAACACCAAAACACCAAGGCATATTGAACAGAAAACAGCAGTAGAGTAGCTGATCAAGTTTGTTTTATAATATTTTATATTTTATTCCGGAATGCCAAATTTTGCTTATTTACCAATTTTGACATTCTATAGTCTGAATTCAGCAAATGAAAAAAATGCCCGCAGACTGTTGTTCTTGCGCTGGTGGCATCATCTGTTCAATGTGCCGTGGTTAAAATTCTTTTCTCATTTTTACCCTTTCTTTTTTTTTTTTTTGTTTTGTTTTTGTTTCGTTATATGATTATGTTTCTTGAGACGTTTAACGGGGTGAGACGAACACAAGGGGTAAAACACTAGACAACACACAAACTCAATGAAGTGCTATCATTATTTCGCTTTGGATTTTTCTTTGACAAATAAACAAATAAAAGAAAGCAAACAAAATTAAACAAGTAGAATGATAAGGAAATAAACGAAATGAAATTGCGAATTGAGATAAGGAAATAAAAAGAATACAAGAAAATTAAATTTGAAATAAATTATCTGTGTTTGAAGTTGGTAACCCTATAATAGGCAAGAAAAGAAAAAGCTCAAACAAAAGCTTACATTTACTTTGGCTGGTTTAATATATGTTTTTGAAGTAACTGGCGTTTTGGTATTTAAAAAAGAAAATATGAAATAAGAAAAACCAATTTTCATAATAAATTTAATTTAAGTAAAAATAAAACAACTTGATTGAAGCGAAATAAACGCAAAAAAAATCTAGCAAAAAAGAAAGCTGTATTTATAAAAACATTTCTTTCAGTATAAAAAAACAGAAACCATTTTCTGAATGAAAAATACTTTTTAATTATTTTTCGTCTTTCCAACGCATAAAATGATAGACTCATTGAGGGGAGTTGGTGGAGGATTTAAGGAATGTGAGCTCGGGGTTTGAATATTTTTATTTTTTTTCAATAAATGTGTTTTAAAATAAAAACAAAAAAATGTTTGCGAAATAACCCTTCCAAAGCATAAATTTTGGGCTACTGCACATAATGGAAATCGAAATTCAATCATAAACATAACAAAAAGTAAATGAATACATTAATACGAGTATGACACGTACTGAATTGAAATCGATATGATTTGAGCTTTTTCTCTTCATTGCACCACAATTATTTTACTATTTAATTTTTCGTTTTTTTTTTTTTTGTTAGCAAATGTTTAATGTTCGAAACTTAGATTGACTCTAAACTCCTGCTCGCGTTAAAGAGTTTGGGGTGCAAATGTGAGCTAGGTCGTATGGTAATGATTTTTTTATAGAGAATTTTATGTAGATGAAACTAAGTACATATTTTTTTAATGCATTTCCTGTCTACAAAGTTCTTAAGAGCTAAGCGAGAAAAAGTCCAACTAGAGCCTAGCTAACATAGTGGGGTGTTGGGGTGTGGGTGTATGTGTAAACGGTAGTACTCACTTTTCACTGTATTCGTCCATGTGTGCGTACGACTGCACCGAGTTCTCCTCAATCAGAAATTTGACGCGCTGATAGAAGGATGCGGTCACGGAGGGTGGCTGCTTGCGCAGCAGCACCTCCACAGGGTCGTTGGAAGACAGGCACATGATATGCTCCGCGCAGGCGGGGTGCGAGCAGCACTCGCTGTCCGAACAATCCGTCATTCCGTCTGAAAAGAGAAAAGACGACAGCAATGAGTAAGAGCAACGGCTGAAAAACGGTGATGTGGGAGGGTGAGTGTAACGAACAAAAAGGAAATGCCGATCAATCAACTTAATTGACACTTGTAACTGAGGCCGATACGGTTCGGGTTGGCTTGTTGATGGTCGTAGAAGGTGGTCGGAACGCGAGAGGAGAACGCATAAAACGGGACTAATGAGCCGTGTGTTTGGACGCATAGCAACGCACCAACGCACTTCACATCTGTGCTGATAAAATTTCAAATTAGCATAAATAAAAACAGGCTTCCGCACCTCCTCTGATTTGAACTGGCGCTTAATTCGCCAACTAGTTACTTTTTTTCGTCGCGAATTGAAATTTAACTCTTCTTAACACATTTCAACGCACTTTGCCCGCGTGTGTGGCGGATAATGAAGCAGGCGCCACTACAAATATATTCATATCCACGTCCCATTATTGTTTCTCAGATCTTCAACATACATATTGCCTTTGCTTTGCCGCACACACACACACACACACATGACTACCGGCTGGCGCACTTTCTTTGATCCTTGCAAATGTCTTGGGCTTTCGTCTCGATTCCTTTCCTCAGCTGGAGTGCGCACTCCAGGATTTGTAGTGCTGCAAATATTGAAACATTTTCAAGTGACGCTCGAGCTGCTTCTGTTGTTTTCTTGTTTTGCTGTTTCCCAGATTGCGTTCGGTTTGCCTTTGCCCTCTACCCCGTACCCCGTCCATTCATTCATTCGCGCTGCGACAATGGCGACAGTAAAGGCATAAAAGCACCAACAAAATGTGAATGCTAAGTGGCTATACGCTTTTAAGTTGATTTCAATATCCGTTTATTTCCTCTTCCCCGTCTGCTTCAACCCACAGGCGACCGACCCGTCGCTCGCTCCTCTGTATCATTCATGTCTCGGTCGCATTCACAGGTAAAACTCGTAATGTTTTATGACACTTCAGGCTTACTTCCTTCCTTCCGTTCGCATTTTTTTTTATTATTCCATTCCTTTTACATTTTACATGGATTGCTGTATAAGGCAGGCATTTTTGTTGCTGCTTTGGTTGCCTTTGCTGTTGTTGTCCAACTAAACGAATTGTTTATAATCAAACTGCATTGACGACCGAAGAAAAATAAATACAGCGTACATATTTAAGTGCATACGTACATACGTAGATTTGTGGCGAATTATTTATGTACATTTGTATGCATGTAAAAGGAGATCCTCTTCCTGCTGCAAATTGTCGCTGAATCGGTGATTTGAGTTGCTGGTAGATACTCGTTTGCTGCGAGGGTGGGGGTTTCGGATATGTTTCCGTGAATTGGATTAGTGTGGAAGTGCGCACATATGTTTCATAGTATTGCTTAAAGACAGCTTGATTGAGTACGTAAATACGCAAATAAAGTAGAGGAAGTTGAGCGCACGCAGCATACTGCTTGTACTCCTCCATGACTGTTGGAAAGCATGTGTATGATGAGATATTCGATCGAAGGTATTTTCTGAACTCATCGTTCAGCATACCATTACCGCTGCCAAGTAATTCTAGGACAGTTTTTATATGGGGGATGGAATATTTTCAAACCGAACTGATCCCAGAAAAAGTAAGAAATTGAGGCGAAGATCGAAGAGCGTATTTTCTTTTCTGGAGCATAGAGGTAAACCTAACATATTTTAAAAGATTAGGAAGATGCCTTTCAATCTAACAAACCCGTAGTTTGCTTCATAAAGCTATTGGAGAAAAATTCGTAAAAAAAAAATTAAAACCTAATATTACGACGCATGAGTTTTGCGGTACGATACAACAGAAACAAAAGGACAAAAATAATAATAATAATTAAAAAGTCAGGATTTTAAAAGGGTTTTCTATATTTGTATACAGAGCAATTAAATAGTCCTTAATTCTGTAAAAAATGAAAAGAATTGATAACAATTGATGCGCTGGTGTGACGTTAAAAAAAAAACAATGGATTTGGACTTGGGTTACAAAGTTACAAATTTCTCTGAATTGGGCAAGACATTTTTTTGTAATTTTTAAAGTATCTAAGGTTTATTAACGAGGCTTTAAATGTAAACATCTTTCCTGTTTTTATTATGAGCATGACGTTACTAAAAACTGTATTGAAAATTTTTTTGTTAATATTGTTTTTAAAAGAATTTTTAATGCAAACAAAACCTGAATTTTATGTCGAATATATTTTTTATTTTCACTTCAGCGCCACCTAGCGGTTCTAGTTTTTTACAAATCTATGTCTCACTATGTTTCAATTAAATGTGCCAAATATGAAACAAATCGGCTTTTTTAAATATCTCGACCCTGGCTCAACCAAGCACACATTTGCAATAGGCAATTTTTACAGAAAAGATTATAACACCGCGCGACAGTAAAATTTACACACAAAAAAAAAAACTAAAATACTCGCGAATATAGGGGCCAAATATAATAAAACTGCAATTTAATTTCTTCACTCTGACATCAGAAATTCTTTTAAAAGGACTTTAACATTTTAACGATATATGTAATTACTTGATGAAAAAGACGATTAAAAAAATTCATACCAGAAGAGGATACCAAATGAAATATAAAGTTCTATAAAAATGGAAAATATTTACTTTTTTCGTGCACAAGAACGAATATTAAAAATGTACTTTTAAAATTTTATCCTTGAATATCCTTCAAAATTTTCATTATTTATTTAACAAAAAATAAAATAAAAATATGCCTTAACGAAACGTCCATATCCTCGAATTTCGTACTTCTAACTTTATTAGTTGAGGATAAAAAATTGAGTAAAAGGCATTTTCAAAATATATTCGTCCTTGTGAACGAAAAAATTTTATTTCTACAAAATTTTCTCTTTCATTTGGTAGTCATATCATTACTCTGTATTTCACTAAATTTTTTTAAATAATTTTTTGAAATGCACATATCGCTAGCTTAGAGCGAAAAGTTGCTAAGTCCCATTTCACAAATTTTAAAGGAGAGAAAAATGCTTTTTATAGCCATTTTCTTCAAGTACTTCGCAAAACTTTGAATACACATTGAATACAATTTCGTACTATTTTGGCTTTACTGGATTCTCGGTGCTTCTTTTTTCGAAACAATGCATTTTAAATTTCTCTAACTATAGAAGTGGACTTAGCAACTTTTCACTCCAAGCAAGCGATATGTATCTCTAAAAATTCAAAGTCCTTCAAAAAAAAAAAAAAAAAAGCCTAACGTCAGAGAGAAAGAATAAGAACACAGTTTTATATTTGATCCCTAGTTTTGTGAGTATATTGATTACTTCGTGTGTTTTAAAATTTTTTGGTTTTTGCCGCACGGTGTTAAATGTCCTCTAAATAAACGAGTAGTATACAATACATATAGAAAGTTTTGTTGCAACGATTGGTAACCGATTTATTAATTTCCACCAAACTCTGCGCACTTAATAACCGTCGTACGGAAAAGCAATTTGTTGAAAATTATTCAAATCGGACTAAAAGTACACCCGCTTCCCGTATAACGGTAAATTTCAGAAATACGAAAACTCCGATAATTCAATAACTGAGGACGCTAATTTACTTCAAATTAATAGTAACAACAATCTCCTAACAATAAATCAGACTGCTATAGACTTTTAGGAATTGGGCACAGCACCGCCCACTTTATAACTACAAAGGTGTACCGCGGTAACCACTTAATCGATTTGTACCTAACTAAGTTCAATTATATCTAAGTCTAACTCTTCATATTATCGAAAACGTTTTAAGTCCGGTAAAGACCTCTACTTATCATGCAAACGTAGTTCAGAGAAAGTTGAAACGATGTTATTTGATACCTGCTCCGGGTATATAAAATTCGATTTCGCCCGAACACTTCTCTACTTGTTTCCGTAAAAGTTTGATTTCTTTTTCAGTTTTTCATTAAAAAATAAAAAAAAAACTGGAATGATTAATTAATCGGAAAGTGATGTATGCACGGTTTATGGAGAATTTCATTAGCTTTCATTTGCCGTATTTTTAAGATTTTTAAATTGGTTCGTAAGATATACGTTATTAAAAGGAACCAGTTTTTGCTTTAAGCTTTTAACCGTAAATTAAAAATATCTCGTAAACGTAACCATAGAAAAATAAATTAACCCGAATTTCGGAATCACCGAGCAATTCTACATAGAAATTCGATAACAAAACCAAACTAAAATTTGTGATCCCGTGTATTTACTAATATTTATGCTCTTTGTTTGTATGTCTGTTTTGTTTATATTCATCTTATGCTTCATATTCATAGTTGGTACATACATAAGTTGGTATCTTATACTCTGAGTATGGCTGCGGAAGCGTTCGCCTACGCGTTCCTCTGGAAACTTTTCACTTATTATCGTAAGTAATTATAATTATTTATCATTATATATGTAAGTGAGAAGTGAAAATTCTTTTCATTCACCCGAGTGCCACCAGTGAATGGATTGTATGCTTGTATTTATGTATATGTTCAAACAAATAAATACCCCAGTGGGAATTAGGAGCACGTAATAATACCTTATTAGCAACTTAC